TTTTTTTTTATGGCATAAGCCGGTAAACGAGCAGACGGATCACCTGATGGTAAGCAATCGGCGTCGCCCATGGACACCTGGAACACCAGAGGCGTTACAAGTGCGTTACCGGCCTTTTGGGGATTAGGAGTTTGAGGATCGTTGGGGATTCAGGAATTGGGGAGATTGGGGAAGGGGAGGGTAATTGGGCCTCCGGTAACCTCACTCACACGACGAAACACAACGCAAGCGTTGCTTCACGTCGGTTTTCTGTGAGGCCGTGGTATCACTCCGGTCGAGCCGGCCCATTCGTGCCGAAGCATGGCTCTCCCACATTTAGAAGTACCCATGTCCTATGTCAAAAAGAAAATTAGGGACGAAACTATCCGTAAGTGGCAGGACAGGTATCCTCAACTACTGGGCAGGTACGACAAAGTTGACACCTGCCCAAGTTCAAGCGCTGACTGGACGTGGAGGGATCGCTGAGTACTTGCATCGATTTAAACTAAAAGAAAGTGCAAGTTGCGAATGCGATTCAACTACCAGTGAGTCTGTATGGCACGCAGAGAGAATTGTCAGTTATCTGTTAAGTGTATTTCATATTAAGTTTGAAAATATAACAACGAATTTTATTATAACTTTCGTGGGATATACTAAATTAATTGTATACTAGCGGACCCGACAGACGTTGTCCTGCATATCCACTTGAATGTATAAACAAAAATTCATCCAAATTAGTTCAGTCGTTTAGGGTAACTAATCTAGATACAGACTGCAGCGCCATCTGCCGGGCTGATTTGTGAATCTAAACCATCCAGGCCGCCACTCAAACGCGTACAGAAAAATTTATTTCAATCGGTCAAGCCGTTTAGGAGGAGTTCAATGACATACACACGTACAGCAGAATTATATATATATAGACTAAATATACTCACGTAATTATTTGACAAGGAACTCGACTAGTTTCAAGCCATGCTAGAGGCTCATATCCATAGACAGTATTACGTGTCAGATACGATTTTTTTTGTTGACGGGGGGAAACCTTCTAACGGCGCCTAGCTTTTTGGGGAAAAAAAGACTAGGGAGTGTGGGATTTTTGCCTCTCTAAAACCTCCCCGGTGGCCATCATCCGCACTTGAAGGAGGCACCGGGTCCTCTTAGTAGACCAACTCCGGTGCCCTCATAGTGCAACGCCTGTTACGGCACCTCCCTATGGAGACCTATGTGTCTCTCCTAGAGCCTCTCTGTGCAGTGCACGGCGGCACGTGACCACTGTGCCGCCGTCATCCTTGAGGTCATTAGGTGGACGCCTAGATTCCCCACTCTATGCGCCCATGACCCCAAAGGTTTGCCTACCAATATTGTAGGCAGGAAATCAACATATTAGGCGTCGCGGCGGTTATTTCCTCGAAGATATGAGCATCTAGTATAGATTGAAACTAGTCGAATTCCTCGTCAAATTATTACGTGAGTAAGCCGAAAAATATAATAATTAGTAACAGTGTATTAGTCTTTCATGTACCTGATGAACCGTGTGTGCATGCTGTAAGTCCTCGAGGAGTTCCTTCGATTTCAACCGTCCCATTTTGGACAAGTAACTCTGATTGAGGAAATCTAGTTTGTTCCGTAAGCTAGGACGAGAAATATTTAATCAAAAACCACATTACTTACTGTTTTCCATTCTGCTTTACAATGGCACCCAGAACAGGTTCGGGAGCCTTGCCTTCTTCGTATCTGGTGATGTTTAGGACGCTGGAAGAAGCAATATTAGACTTTGAACGATTCATATTCATATTCATTTATTTGCATACTATAAAGTGAATAAGGAAGGACTGCCTCGTTGGCTGAGTGGTCGCAAATGCGACTGCCGGGCAAGGGGTCTCGGGTTCGATTCCCGGGTCGGGCAAAATATTACTGGTTTTTTAAAAAATTCTCAGTAGTAGCACGGAGTCTGAATTTGTGCCCGGTATATGGCAATAGGCTCACCCCCTATTACATGGGACTCATAACATAAATAGTGAAAAGTGGGTGTTACATTGTACAGTGGCATAATGTGCACCTCTGCCTACCCCTTCGGGGATAAAAGGCGTGATGTTATGTTATGTAAAGTGAATAAGGTGTTACAATACGCTTAAAGCTAAGTTACATTTATGGACCCCGTAAGGGCACGGCAACATTTGATAAAATGAAGTTAACATTTTTTTTAATAAAGTTGACATTTTATCATCGAATATCTTGTAATCAAAATGTAACATACATATAATCGAATTTAAATTAATCAATAAAAGTCAAAATGAAATTTTTACAATCAAAATAAAATAATTGAGGTCATAATAAAATTAAAATAAAAATTAAATATGTAAATAAAATTATTGTTAAGTCCAATAATTAAAATGAGCAAAGACAATCAAATAATTATAATCAAATCAAATTAATCAAAATCAAATTATCCGTAGGTAGATATCAAATATCCACAGATATATGGAAATGATAATAGGTATCACTTTAATTTTTTATTTATATCATTATAGTTCTAGTAATAGCTGAACTTATAACTGAGGTATCTATAAATGAGGTACTCACTCAGGCTCATGGAAGTCCAGAGGGAAGGGAGGGACGTCCCTCTTGGAGATGTAGCGTAGTTTGCCGGCGACCGAGCAGCGAGCCGTCAACATCTCGATATTGCCGGCAGCGTCCTCTATTACTATATTACGGTAGAAGGAGCGTTTGCCCTGAAACATTTAATAAAAGCCATCATTAAATATCCTGAGTAATGCTAAACATATAACTACCCAATGGCATCACTGTAACTGTTCTACAGTCCCACTGCTAAAGAGGCATCCTTTCTAGGCGGATTTGCTGAAGGCGGATCAGAGATTTTGAACTTGGGCAGCTCTTTATTTGAGCTTTCGAGCCGGCGACTGACGGGCAAGGGGTCTCGGTTTCGATTCCCTGGTCGGACATAGTATTACTGGGTTTTTTTAAATCATTCTCAGTAGTAGCACGGAGTCTGGAATTGTGTCCGGTATATGGCAATAGGCTCACCCCCTATTACATGTGACTACATAAATAGTGAAAAGTGGGTGTTACATTGTACAGTGGCATAATGTATGTACACTTCTGCCTACCCCTTCGGGGATAAAAGGCGTGATGTTATGATGATATGTATTCTCAGTAGAATTGTGCCGGATATATGGCAATAGACTCACCCCTATTACATGGTACTCATACATAACAAAAATAATGAAAAGTGGGTGTTACATTGTACAGTGGTATTAAGTGTCGTAATATGCACCTCTGCCTACCCCTTCTAGAATAAAAGGCATGATGTTATGTTATATTCTTAAGTATTAGGTAGGTACTTGTTTAAACTCACCGTGCCAGTCTGCAGTATCCTGGTGACTCCACACTTGTGATGGTCCTGCAGATCCAAGACGAACATGGCTGTGTTTCCATCCATCTCCGGCAGACAGGGCTTGTATTCTGTAAAGAAATCAAATGAGAATGAACAATTGCAAAACGACATTGTTTTCTTTTTTATGGTTTAGGGAACAGAGTGTATTTTTTTTTTTTTTTTAAGGGGGAAAATCATCGAATGACTGCTCCCGCCTGGGTGAGACGGGAGGGAGTGTCAGACTCTTACTGACTAACAACCACCCCGTTCCTTCTCCTGTACGTCGTATCGGAGCCCCGGTTACCCGTTAGGTTTTCCGGGACATAAGTGTAGATTAGATTATAATTATCTCTCAATCAATAACACAAGTCGCGTAGGAGTCGTGATGTCAGTAGACTCGAGTAATGAATACAGACGATCGCTTCGATACAATGCATTGCAATATCATATGTGGCAGTACACTGGGACGATATTAATGAATAATTTATATTAATTATTTATTAATAAGAAAGTCAGGGCGCTTGTTTATTTATAAAGATTATTAATGTAACATGACGTCTTTGTTATTGAGGAGTGGAGTAAAATCACTACCTCTGCTCTTTTAATGGGTATCATAATAACACTAATACTTTCGATTTTGGGACAAAAGCGAGATATAGGTACGGTTATACCTACTAACTATATTCGCTACTCGACTAAAATATAAGGCGACCAACTTTCTGAAAGTCCAATGCGGGACTTTTTGTAAATAAAGTTTAGTCGGTACACCAACAATTACATTGGATCGAAGTGCAGGAGTAGGAACGGGGTCGTTTTCAGTCAGTAAGATTCTGACACTCCCTTCTGCCTCACCTAGGTGGGAGAATTTATTCGATGATTCCCCCCCCCCCTTAAAATAACGCCTAAGTACAATTACATAAAAACATGAAACTTACCTCTATATACAAAAGTTATTTAACTATTAATAAAATCGTATTTATCTCTAGAGGGACACTTTTTAACAAGTTCAGGATTCTTATTGAGTAGGTATGTCATGAAAATCTTCGCAACTTCCCATATTAAATTTAAGTACAAGCAGAGCACGTAGTGTTTTCACTTTTAGTGATGATTTTCCGATCTTCATTTATTCGCGCTGTTGTTAGTGCGCGTGTATTGGTGTCGTGTAGTATGAAATGAAAAAAAAGAAATAGGTATGTGGGACTTGCGGGACGCATCTAACGTTCTACGGGACTATTTTAAAATTATTTCAAAGCGTGATTACATCTTTTTTTTTTTTAAGGGGGGAAAATCATCGAATGACTGCTCCCGCCAGGGTGAGGCGGAAGGGAGTGTCAGACTCTTACTGACTAAAAACCACCCCGTTCCTTCTCTTGCACGTCGAGCCGGAGCCCCGGTTACCCGTTAGGTTCTCCGCGACTCCGAATCGGCATCGGCCGTATTGGGCCCCATCTGTGGTGTGATTACATCTAGCATTACGGGACGGTCCCGCAGAATACGGGACGGTTGGCCGCCTCACTAAAATACAAACGCAGTGTGAACAAGACAGGTAAGGGAGTACAGACTACAAAGTCTAAGGCACTTTTGAACGTCTACAAAAACAATTGAAAAGTGAAGTTAGTTACTCATTCCAAGGTGTAGATTCCTATGGAGAAGAACGACCTAGAAACTCCATACGACATAGAAAGTAGATATGTAGTAATAGTAAGTAGGGTGTTCCATGTCTATGGTCCACAGATAATATTAGATATTAAGTATTCTATGATTTCAATAAAATAATAAGTCTGTGGACCATGGACAAGACTTCATTTTTAATTTTTTAGCTTTTATTTTATTTTATTTTTATTTTTTAATTATGTTATGTGTGTTCTGCGCAGAAATAAATGGTTTTTTTTTTCATTCTTCTTCTTTCTTCATACCATTAATATTTTATTGTATTGAATAGTCGAAATAATTCATTAGTGATTGAGGTAATTTGATTGATGATGAGAAGATAATCTTTGAAAAACGTTTTGTTTCCGGGAACTGTTCCCGGGAATCGGTTCCGAGATCCCTCGATTTAACACCTGCGACGGGCCAGGGAGGCAGTTAAAATTCAGCCTACGTTGAAATATCGCCTGTCTGCACTTCTCTATTGAATTGTCAGTATTCTATTACGCCCAAGTCTTTATTTTTAGACTAGACACGACCTATGGATTCACTTCAATATTATTTTATACTACCACTAGCGGACCCGACAGACGATGTGCTGCATATCTACTTTTTTATAGCATTAGCCGGTAAACGAGCAGCCGGATCACCTGATGGTAAGCATTCGACGTCGCCCATGGACACTTGGAACACCAGAGGCGTTACAAGTGCGTTACCGGCCTTTTGGGGATTAGGAGTTTGAGTTTTTCAAGAATTGACTTAATATAAATAAAAAATCTGCCGCTGCCGGCCCGATTTGTGAATCTAAACAATCCAGGGCGCCACTCAAACGCGTACAGAAAAATTCATTTAACTCGTCGAGTACCGGTTTTGTAGACACAATTATAGAACAATAGGTTGCGGTCACCGGTGACCGCTTGGTGTTTGACAGTTTAAATCGGTCAAGCCGTTTAGGAGGAGTTCAATGACATACACACTTACAGCAAAATTATATATATAAAGACTAGCGGACCCAACAGACGTTGTCCTGCATATCCACTTGAATGTATAAACAAAAATTCATTCAAATTAGTTCAGCTGTTTAGGTAGTCAAAGTCAAAGTCAAAGCGTTTATTGACCTAACCTTAAAATAACCTAAACATCGACTGCAGCGCCATCTGCCGGGGTGATTTGTGAATCTAAACCATTCCCAGACCCCCTTAAACACACACAAAAAATTTCTTCAAAATCGGTCCAGTCGTTTGAGAGAAGTTCAGTGACATACACACTCACAGAAGAATTATAATAATCTATCATAATAATCTATTATTATAATCTATCCCTTTTCCAAATTTCATGGTGATACCTACTGATTTAAAAAAAAGACTCAGTAATACTTAGCTGGACCCGGGAATTGATTGCCCAGCAGTCGCACTTGCGACCACTCGGCCAACGAGGCAGTCTCCATACTGCTCCATATGTCAAAATCGATTTTAATTCACTGAATTTAAATTAACATAGCTTGATAGTCTGTGCTTACGACAAAAAATATAAAATAATAAAGATTACTTCAATTGGCTACTTTCCTTAATAAAAAATATATTATTTAGACAATAGAGGTACAATACAGAATAGAATATAAAGAAATAAACGTTCATTAATTGATTTTATGACCAACTTAATTTTAGTATTTTTATAGCAATTATTTAAGACATAACTACGCTGTTTGACGCTAAAAAAACGTGACGTCACAATACACAATTTCGTACAAAATTCATAGAAAACTGTCGTTTTAGACAGTTCGAAAAAAGTATTGAATTTGACTAGTTGGCAAGTACAGTTTCAGTCATACGGCACCCGTGGGAAGAGAAGCGATGGTGAGCAATGTCTATGCATTGAGCCATGCTTCGGCACGAATGGGCCGGCTCGACCGGAGTGATACCACGGTCTCACAGAAAACCGACGTGAAGCAACGCTTGCGTTGTGTTTCGTCGTGTCAGTGAGGTTATCGGAGGCCCAATTACCCTCCCCTTCCCCAATCTCCCCAATTCCTGAATCCCCAACGATCCTCAAACTCCTAATCCCCAAAAGGCCGGTAACGCACTTGTAACGCCTCTGGTGTTCCAGGTGTCCATGGGCGACGCCGATTGCTTACCATCAGGTGATCCGTCTGCTCGTTTACCGGCTTATGCCATAAAAAAAA